CGTATGTCTGACTTTGGAATGCGGTGGTTTGAAGGAAGAGCTGGGTCACAGAGGTATAGTACAGCAGATGCTTTTCAAGTGCTTTTTGAGGATTGATGTTTTTGTTTTGGTTTGTTAGAACTTCTGTGTTGTTAGTTTTACACTGTTACTGAATGAAATGTGTTTTGGGTATATTTTACAGAAGGTTTATTTGATCATTCTCGTCTAAATGCACAAATGTACGTTCAGTTCTTTGTGTTTGTGTGACAAAAGACAGCATGTGTATGACAGGCTTTTTAAATTTGACACTCATTTGAATGTGAATGGTGCATAAAGGACAAAGGTGTGAGTTCATGCGCTCACAGTTGTTAGACAGGTGTACGTTATTAGTTATTAATGGTTGGTTTCACTGTAAATGGTGGATTGAGTTGATCTGTTAGGAAAGAGTCTGCATGGCTGCATCAGATATGATCTATTTACGCCACACTGCTAGTGCTAAGAATAACAGGTTTAACACGAGAAGTGAGCAAATTTAACCTCATGATTTGACTACTTTGTCAAATAAGCCCTGTTAACTACTAGAACTGAGTTAAGTTTTGTCAGTCGATCATAAATGCACCACTAAATATAAGTATAAATTGGGTTTGAAAGGTTTTGAGCATGTCCGCTTTCTCAAAATATATTTGGATTGCTTTCATAGTTTACTGTAGAAACTGCTGTGGTAGTATGAAAATGAAACAGCCACAGGATTTAAACTTGCAAAAAGTAAAATGTTTCTTGCCAGTCCTGATTCTAACACAGTCTGAAGCATTCAGCATAGTTTTACTTCCTTTAGAGCTAAAACAAAAGCTGCTTAATTCATAATTAGATCGAAAAATCAGGAAATAGTTTGAAAGTGAACAAAAAAGATGGATAAAAACACCAGGTGTAAATATTAGGTTTAATATTATGTTACTTTTTGATCTGATTAACCAAAATGAATCTTCATACCAGGTGTTAACAGTCACACAATCCACACTGTAAACCCTAATGTTGTCTTTATCTAAACAATCAAGTAAAGTTGACTTAACTTAAAATTTAGCTTTTTGGTCCTATCACTTTAAAATATTAGTTAATTTAACTTATGTACCATGAAAATGTAGGATTTCAAGTGTAGTGAGCTCAATATCATGATTAATTCTTCTAAAAACATAGGTCATTTTCACAAATGTAGTCTTGACTGTAAAATTTTTTATGTTTTTTTATCAGAAAACAAATGGCTTCAGGTATAATTATTCATCATAATGTGAATAAATGGCTACTTATGTTTTGTTTAAAACACACACACACACACACACACACACACACATATATATATATATATATATATATATATATATATATATATATATATATATATATATATATATATTAGGGCTGTCAAATGACACATCAATCAAAATGCTCTTCATCTGTGCACGTCCTTGAATATGTTTACCAACTCCCATTCTATAAAAGCACAAAAGCCATATATAGGAAATAACGAGAGTTGACAAATTAAAAACTTAGATTTTTTATTTATTATTATAATAAAATTATAATCCACACTGGAAGTCCATCTTTTGTGTGCCTGTGTGTTTTGAGAGAGCCTAATAAATAATGAACATAAAAACTGCCTGTTGACGCACACAGTTAGAGTTGAATAATAAAATAAAGATAAATTATAAAAACAATGTATCAGAGACCCTTAAAAAAACGTTTAACTCAAAAATGAAACATCAAACAGAGCTAAAAGATTTTACATTGTCAATCAAATGAACTTAAACAGTTAAAAAATGCAACAAATATTTGTTTGGGCCCGAACTACTAAACGAAACGTAAAAAAAAGTTGCTTAAGTTGCACACTAATTTGGCCATGTAAATATCATTATAACCATTTTGTATAAATATTATTGTCACTAAAAGCCTACATCATGCTGGCGATCAAAAACACTATGTCATGATATCTCCTGCGCTTGTCTTCTGACCGAGTGGATCTTAAAATATATGAATGACGCTCCTCAAAAAGCCTGAGAAGCAGACATTGTTTATAATTTGTAAAACAAAGACTTGCAGGTTAAGGAAACAGCATAGGAGGAAGTGGTGTAGATTAAAAGTAAAAAAAAAAAAAAAAAAGTATATTTATATGGACAGATAGGTAACTAGATAGAATAGACAGGAATATATTGATCTGTGCTCCGATGCACGCTGCAGAGTTCAGACGCAAAATTCAAATGCCTACTCACCGCTTCTGCTCTCCCACGCGTGAGAAACAGGCGTGACTCTTGACTATTTAAAAAAAAAACGAACTATGTTGACGTACACAGAGCCCAACATGGAAGTTTATGATTGGGCCAGCCCAATGTCAATAAAGAAAAGAACCAATGGGCTAAGTGTTTTATGGGTCGATCAGATCATAAGAAGATGATTAGCCCGGCCCAAAAAGTACGTCGGCCCAGCGGGAAACTGCCTGGTCTGCCAGATGGCCAGTCCGCCTCTGCCCACAACAGGAAAAAAAAAAACTGCAACTGCGTTAATTGCGTTAATTTTTTTAAACGCGTTAAATATTTCAAATTACATTCTATGTCTATGCTGGACAATAGGCCGGCTTTGTTCTGGTCTATAGAACAGACTATTATAGTTTCTCAAAATAGCAACGCGCCAGCAAAGCGCCTCAAAACACCTCCCTTTTTAGACCAGAACACCTATGGGCGCACATATGAACGCAAATACATTTCCTATTTAAACAGTGTGGCGCAAAACGTCAAAACGAATCTTGCGCCAAGCTGAAACTAGCAAACAACTATTGCGTCGCGCCTTGCACCACATTGCGCCGGGTGAATGACTGGGCGCATAGTAACAGAATGAAATGTCTGTCACTTGTTTTTATCTGTGGAATAATGGAAATAGAAATGTTGTTCAGAGCACTAGAGGGCACTACATTCCAGACACCTGGAATGTATAATAGGTGAGTGGGTGAATGAAAAAGAGATTTAGTTGTGGTAGAGGAAACGCATGGTTCTTAGGAGCTACTTCAAACGGTTTGTATCGTGAAGTCCTAGTTGGGAAACCTTGCGTTTTAAGCTCAGCCTAAGAACTTCCTTATTGTCCAAATAACTGAATGTTTGGAAAATGTATTGCTGTCTGAATAAGATTGGACGTTTTAAATATCATCATTATAAAGTTTCTATGTTCGATTATCTGCAAGTTGTTAAATCAAAGCAAAAGTAGATCAACATATTTCAACGCACTGAATGTTTTTTTACTCTGAATCAGTGACCAGGTTTTTTTTTTTTTTACTTAAGGAAAAGACCATCATCCAACAGCTAAGACACTATTTTTTGAGAGAAGTTTCAAAGATATTGAAGATATTGGGGGTTTATAAACTTTGATTTAGGTACATTATTCTTTAATTCAACATATTTTCCATCTAAGAAATTAAATATACAGTATGCATAGAAAAAAACTGGTCACTGATTCTGAGTAAGAAAGTACTAAGTTTGGTGAACTGAACAATTTAAGTATAGTCTACAAAACCGGAAAATTAATAAACTTAAATATGCATGTTTTAGGAGACTCCATTACTCAATTAAATTGAGGCAACGAGTTTACGCAGTGGCGCAGTAGGTAGTGCAGTCGCCTCACAGCAAGAAGGTCGCTGGTTCGAGCCTCGGCTCAGTTGGCGTTTCTGTGTTCACTGTGTTCGCGTGGGTTTTCTCTGGTTTCCCTCACAGTCCAAAAGACATGCGGTACAGGTGAATTGGGTAGGCTAAATTGTCCATACTGTATGAGTGTGTGTGAATGTGTGTGTGGATGTTTCCCAGAGATGGGTTGCCGCTGGAAGGGCATCCGCTGCGTAAAAACTTGCTAGATAAGTTGGTTGTTCATTCTGCTGTGGTAACCCAAGATTAATAAAGGGACTAAGCCGACAAGAAAATGATTGAATGAGTTTACACAAATAATTTAGGTTATTCAACCTATTAGTGTTTTCAGTGTACTATTCACATACTGTATGCTCTTAGCATAAATGAGTACACCCCCTTTTAAAATTAATATTTTTATTAATTTCTCAGTGAATATAGGCAATACTTTTTGGTGCATTTAAACCAAAGTTTATTAAACAGTTATATCAATTAAAATAAGAGTTTGGTCCCCGAACATCATTAGGGATAAAAAGATAATACATTTAAATTCAAGTTATTGCCAAAAAATGACTACAATATAAATACAAAATACAAAATTTTGATAAATGAATAAAAGACCCAGTGTTATAATAAGAAAGAGTAAGAAGACGAGACTGTAACTTAGACAAAATCATTTACAGAAGATGCAGATCTCACAAATAAGAGATGGCATAAACTTCTCTTCATAACCTAGAGCTGCGCCAATGCACAGTCACCTCTAAGCTTCAGTTTTGTTGCAGGTTATGACAGATTAATGCTGTTTGAGGATTTGCAAATATCTGTCTGACCTATTCACATTTCCAAGATCTGACACGTAAGCAGGAGCCATGCCCTTTAATGACTTAAAACAAACAACAGAAGTTTTAATTCAACCCTAAGGCACTGGCAACTGATTTAGAGACATTAATATAAGTGTTATGAGTTCTCGCTTATAAACCTCAGTTAAAAAACTGGCAGCAGTATTTTGAACCATTTGAGGTGATATGGAAGATTTGAGTAGACCAATATACAAGGAATTACAGTAGTCCAAGCGTAATAAAAACAAAGGCACATAGAACTGATTCAGGATCTTTAAATGATAGAAAGGATTTAAAATATGGCAGAAATTAAAGATGAAAAAAAAAGACTTAACCACTGAGTTTGTATGGTGGTCAAATTTTATAGCAGAGGCAAAAATATAAGTGTTCACTGTTGGCTTTAAATGTAAGAGTTTAAAGGACCACACTTAAAAATTGGCTTTGTTTTTCAACTAAAATAAATAGTATATTGCTCATTTACTAGCATTCAGATTATTCTTATTTTTAATTTTTTTGTTTCCAGAGAGAGGCCATCACGACCAGTGTCTGAGTCTGATCCAGAGGTAGCTGAGCGATTGGCTCTGGGCAGCACTGAAACTCTGGCCAATGGCAACAAGGCTGATCTCCAAGCTGCAAAACGGCTGGCCAAACGCTTGTACACTCTTGATGGATTTAAGAAGTCAGATGTGGCACGGCACCTGAGCAAGAAGTAAGGATATTTTTAATAATAAATGAATAAATAAAAAAGTTTATGTTTACAGACATTTTAGTTCATCCCTCTTGCTTTATTTTCAGAGACTCTGTGGATTAAGTTACATAAGTTACATAAAGTTACATAAATAGTAAAGTTGTCAGAATAATAAATACCCATTTTTTTCAAGGGGAAAAAGTGTGCTTGACTGCAGTTTTAAAAAAAAAAGTGTTTTAAAGATGTCTCTTTTTTTAATCTAGGGTGCAATTATTTGATGTAAAATACAATTAAGATGGTAAAATTGTAAACAAAAATTGTTAAAATTTAAATTTATTTGAATGAATTATACAATGTAATTTATTTCTGCAATTCAATGCTGAAGTCATTCTAATGGTGATCATTGATAATCATTTGGTGATCATGAATTATTATTTCTTATTATCATCAGCAGTCTTGAAAACAATTGTGGTAATTCATATTTTTGTGAAAGCTGTGATATATTATCATTAAAAATATATATTTTTATTATTACTAAAATTAAATTGGGGTTTTGTTCTGCTGTGGCAACCCCTGATAAATAAAGAGACACAGGAGAGAGAACGAGTTCTGTCCCATTTCTCCAAAAGATACCTCCAGTGCAACCCGAAGACTATACCATATGAAGGTCACAAAAAATAAACCAGATAAATATATAAATATTAATATTAGTTAAAGCCATTATCAATATCTGAGCACAAATAATAATAATGGATTATAACAGAGTGCCACCAAATCACCATATTAGAATGGATTTGAAAGGATTGTGTGTCATTTAAAGACTGGAGTAATGATGCTGAAAATTCAGCTTTGAGTAAATAAATAAATTATCTTGATGAGCAGAAGAGACCTCTTTCAAAAACATTAGCAAATCTTAAAGATTCCACTCACTTTAGCAGTTGTTTAGTGTGAGTAAAATATGCAATTAGTAGCTCTAAACAGACAAACATTTATAAACATGTATTTTAGGTTTGCCTCGCTCCACATTAAATGTTTCAAGCTGAACAGTATTACATTGACAAGAAATATTACATTTGTAAAACTGACTATGAAATTTATATAAAAAGGTCAGACATTTGGAACTCTACTATAAACCAAAAAGCAATTTTTTTCACACACTTTTGTCTTTTCCTGACTTGTACAGCAATGAGTTCAGTCACATGGTGGCGGAGGAGTACCTCAGTCATTTTAACTTCTCAGGGATGATGGTGGATCAGGCGCTGAGGTAATAACTATGTTAAGTTGTGTCAATGTTTGCTTTCATTTCTGCTGTCCAACAGGTTTTTTCACTCTTGCTTTTCCTGCTGTTGTCTTTTTAGAATGTTTTATTTTTATATTTTTTTATTAAGAGTGCAAAACATAAAACATAATGTAAACACAGAACACATAAACAGTAAAAGAACATAAACAGGAATGTGGATAAACAGCAATGAAAATAATATTGGTAGGATTTTCGTTGTATTCTTGCATAATAATAATAATAATAATAATAATAATAATAATAATAATAATAATGAAGTGATTTCGGCAACAATTTGAATTTTGTGATGACGACAACAGTGAAATCAATAATAAATAAGGTAATAATAATAATAATAGTATTAAAAAAGATACATACCCAGCACATACTGTACCACATATATTCTATCTTCTGTGTGAGTGATTGTGTTGTTGTTGTTTTTTTCTTAGGGTGTTTTTAAAAGAGTTTGCTCTAATGGGAGAGACACAGGAGAGAGAACGAGTTCTGTCCCATTTCTCCAAAAGATACCTCCAGTGCAACCCGAAGACTATACCATATGAAGGTCAGCCATAGCAGCGCTTTGTGTGTGTGAGATTGGATGTGCGTTACAGTAACAGTAACACTATGTGGTGCTCTTGCTCAGACGGTGAGCTTACTGGAGTTTATCTGTGTTTTTCAGACAGTGTTCACACATTGACTTGTGCCCTGATGTTGCTCAACACTGATCTGCACGGTCATGTGAGTATGATGCACTGTAAACACACAACAAACAAAACCAACGTCAGAAAAAAAAAACAATCTTGCTGGAGCTATGAGAGGCTATTTATTTAAAAAGTTGGAAAATATTATTGAGGAAGCCAATTTAAAAGATTCAGAGATAAATGTCAGCTTCACAACAAAAGATTTTCAGTGCAAAAACTGACCAACTCAAATATTTGCATGCCACATTTCTCATATATTAATTTCTGCTTTGTCAGAAAAAAAAGATATTATATCTACCTTGAAAAATTTGAAGGAATAAATATATTTAAGCTCCATATGTTTCAAACATATAAATGATTTGATTTATAATCAAATAATTTGATTTATTAGAATAATTAATACATTAAATTACTATTACTTGTATAACATACTGTAAGCTATAAAAAGTTAAAAACAATTACATTGTGTTTTGTAAAGATCACAAGAAAAACGTGCACATCCTAAAGCTGAATTTGAGTGCTCATCCAAAAAAAAGTACATCCAAAGGAAAATTTAAATAAATAAATAAATATTCATTCAATCATTCATCTTCCGTTGGCTTAGTCCCTTTATTCATCTGGGGTTGCCACAGCAGAATGAACCTTTCAGCCACAACCTGAAGTACAAAAGTACTGGGAGTCACCCATACACTATTGCAGTCACACTCACACTACAGCCAATTTAGTTTATTCGAATAACCTATTGCGCCTATCTGTGGACTGTGGGGGAAACCAGAGCACCATGTGAACATGCAAACTCCACACAGAAATGCCAATTGACCCAGCTGGGACCCGAACCAGTGACCTTTTTTTGGCTGTGAGGTGACAGTGCTAACCACTGAGCCACTATGTCGCCCCATAAATGAATGAATGAATGAATAAATAAATAAATACATTTGGAGCTCTGGTGTAGCAACTTTGTTCTTTATTTTGTACAATGTACTGTATATTGTTGTGCAAAAATGTACGTTACTAAAATGTTAACCAGTTATATTTCTTAAATGTTCATGTTTACTTTATGAAAATAAAAAATATATGATTATTAAAGAACAACATAAAAAATAATAAATACATAAAATATATAAATGACATGTTAGCTTCACTGCTTCAAACAAACAGTTTAAATATAAAACATATAAATATTTTGGAAACAATCCATTTTTAGTGTTAGCCACAGTAAAATGCTTATATCATTCATTCATTCCTTTTTCATTCATTTTCTTTTCGGCTTAGTCCCTTTAATCTGCAACCCATCACTGGGAAACACCAATACACTCCCATTCACACACATACACCATGGACAAATTAGCCTATCGAATTTACCTATAGCGCATGTCTTTGGATTGTGGGGGAAACCGGAGCACCCACATGAACACAAGGAGCACATGCAAACTCCACACAAGAATGCTAAGCGACCTTCTTGCTGTGAGGCAACATTGCTACCCGCTGCGCCACCCATTCTTATTTCAACTTTATTAATACCATAAAACAAACAAAAATACTCTCTGGCATTTAAAATCTTGGAAATTAAAATAAAGAAGCCTATGTGAAATAGGAGTTATTTTACACGTACATGATTGGAGACTGTAAATGGAGCTGGTTGGGATGTTTTTGTAGTTTGAATGTTGTTCTCTGAGCTCTGCTTCGCCCTGAGGGAATGAGGAGGAATGTAGCTTTAGCAGTTCGGATTAAAAATAGAAATTCATCCATAAATGTATTAGTAAAAAAACCTTTCTCAGGGGAAAGCAAATTACTTTTGTACAAAATATTAAAGCATTTACTGCCCACTGTGCAGTTGCTACTGTATTGTAGGTGTTGTTGAGAGCACAGGAGCTGTGAAATATAGGTCAATATATCAGCTGACAGTGAATTCATCATCTCTCTCTCTCTCTCTCATTCAGAATGTGGGCAAGAGGATGTCCTGCATGCAGTTTATTGGTAACCTGCAAGGGCTGAATGATGGGCAGGACTTCCCAAAAGATCTTCTTAAGGTTTGTACCGTTTTCAAGCATTCCCACATTGACTGTGTTTGTATAGTGAATTTTATAGTGTCATGAAGCAATAAAAGGTTTATATGCACCACAGCTAATGGAGTGTTCCTATGTGTAATTAGCATATTTTGAATAAATTAAGACATGAACATTTTGGCCTGCTTTTTTATTCTGGGAAACTGACTCACTCTTGGTGCTTTAATATGATGCATTTACATTTTCAGACAGAAATTAATGATGCTTATTTGTGCACTTTTTACTTTTCTTCAATGGAATCAATGTTCTTTTAAGATTTAAGATTCTTGTACTTTTGAAACAAAAGTCCATAATGCTCACTTATGCAGTAAATGAAGTAATTTAGTGAAATATTATTAAAATATCATTTTCTTTTGATATGAGTAAAGAACTTAGTATGAAATAAAGTAGTTAAAAAATCATAATACATAATATTAAATGAATACATTTGCAAGTAAAGAACATACTTAAAGGTCTTACAAAACTGTTGTCACTATTAACCAATATATGTATCTCTAAATAAAAAGTACATTGAAATATTAATAAAATCAAATCTGACAAGCCACAAACTTTTGATGTTCTTATGAAATTTCACAGAAATGAGTAATAATTCAAAACGTTTTAGATGAAGCTGAAATACAGCTTATTAGTCAAAAATACCAAGTCAGTTTAGTCTATATATTTGTGGTGAAGTTATTTCAAGCCTTTCTGAAACAATGAGTCACACACAAATGCCGTTTGCAGTACACACACACATTTATGCATGCTTACTGACACCATGCAGCAGTGGTGAATATAGAGGTTAATAATTAGATAGTGATTTTACTGTCTTTATTACAAACATTTTCTGATTTAAAAAACTTTAGACTTAGAAAACTCACAGATATTTGAAACAGTCAACAATCTCAGTTTCTTTGCTCTATAGACATGTTTTGTGGACATGTGTATCCATGTTATTATAGAAACCTGGCACTTGTCAGTCAATTCTAATTCGCTGTAGTGTATGAGTGTGGGTGTTAGGTTGCGGCTGGAAGGGCATCCGCTGCGTAAAACATATGTTAGATAAGTTGGCAGCCCATTCCGCTGTGGCGACCATGGTTTAATTAAGGGACTAAGCCAAAAAGAAAATAAATGCATGAATGAATGAAATTGAGCATGCAAAATTGTCAGTGACGTAATTAATATATTTTCAAGTATTTTTTGGAAAGATGCCTTAATTTACCTTGAAAAAAGCATTTGCAGAAGATACAGTTGTCTTAGAATCATACTTGTATATATAATAATAATTGCGTATAAATAATAAGTAACAGTAAATAATAGTAAGCTTTCATTCATTCATTCATTCATTCATTCATTTTCTTGTCAGCTTAGTCCCTTTATTAATCTGGGGTCGCCACAGCGGAATGAACCGCCAACTTATCCAGCAGGTTTTTATGCAGCGGATGCCCTTCCAGCTGCAACCCATCTCTGGGAAACATCCACACACACACACTCATACACTACGGACATTTTAGCCTACCCAATTCACCTGTACCGCATGTCTTTGAACTGTGGGGGAAACCGGAGCACCCAGAGGAAACCCACGCAAGGGCAGGGAGAACATGCAAACTCCACACAGAAATGCAAACTGAGCTGAGGTTCAAACCAGTGACCCAGCGACCTTTTTGCTGTGAGGCGACAGCACTACCTGCTGCGCCACTGCCTCGCCCTGTAAGCTTTCAGTGCAATTAATCACACTGTAATAGGACATGATTAATCATGATTAAAATGTTAATTTATTGACATCCATAAACAGAATCTAGCTGAAACAGAAAATCTGAATTAAAGTTTAATATCAGAAAATTCTCGTGCATGTAAATATTTCTGTAGTCTTATATAAATAGCCATATATTCATATAAAGGTTACTTTTCTTATAAATATTTCTGGAGAAATCCACAGCCCTTCTTTACTTTGAAGATCTGATAGAAGCATTATCCCTGCAAAAATTAACTTCCGTTGCACTCATTGAAAGCCTTGTCTGAATATATTGATTTATTGTCACTTCAGTGTTGATGTTGAAGTGCTGTGACTGTCACTGCTGATGTCATTGAACTTCCTGTGCTCTGATATGCTGGTGCTCAGGGTTTGTCTATTTTAGTCCTTCTCTCGAATCACAGGGCAGGCTGCACAAGAATAATAACCGCACGATGACCGCACCTGAACCACTCATATGTGCTTTAAAATCACAGGCAGCTTTTCAAGCATTTGGTCCTCCCACTCCCTCTCTCTCCTCTGGCCATTTCTCTTTCTCTCATCCCTCGTTCTCTCCTCCACCCTCTCACTCTGTGCCTCGCTCTATTTCATCACCTCCCACCTCCGTTTTTTCTGCACTCTATCTAGTCATTAAACTAGCTGCCATCATGCTCTTTGTTTCACCCTATAATCTGCAAAAATTCACTTTGCTGAACTGTACTTAGCCCTGTCTGTGGAGGTTATTTTCATATTTATATTATCCTCCTAATCTGAGCCTTTGGCTGACGAATGACATCCTTCTTTGTCTTTTTAATTCTTGTCTTCTTTCTCTCCTCCTACCACTATGTGAGGGTGTGAAGGCCACGCAGTTGTTGACAAAGATGGTTAGTTGTCTTACAAAGCTCAGGCAGATTATCCTTCTAGGTATATTAAGTGAATGATTTCTGCTTTTCTTTATTAAAGGGTGAGTTCATTCAAAAATAAATATTAGCCCATGATAGACTCACCCACATGGCATATGCAAACGGTGTATATGAGTTTTTTCTTTCTATCGAATCTCTCATTATTTAAAAAAAAATGTCTGGCTTTTTAACTGCCCAATAACATGCACTATTCATAATAAAACCAGTCCAACCAGGGGTTAAGGTCTTGTAGTAATTTAGTGCGTTTCTGGTAGTGATTCAATAAAAATTTCATTAAATGGATAGTTCACCCAAAATTAAACATTTACTCATTATTTACTTACACTCAAGTAATTCAAAACTTTTATGAATTTCTTTTTTTCTGTTGAACACAAAAGGTGATATTTTGAAGAATGTTGAAAAAAGCAGCTATTGACATCTGTAGTTGGAAAAAATACCATGAAAGTCAATAGCTGTCTTTCTCAACTTCAGTGTATCTTCCTTTGTATTCAACAGGTGTAAAACGTGAAAGATGAGCAAATGATGTTAGAATTAATCTTTTTAAGTGTAGTATCCCTTTTAGTTGATCAAAAACATACAGTATGACACAAGTAGTGTCAGTCTATCAGTAGTATAGTGTGAACCAGACAGTCATGTCTAGTTAGTATTCAATCTTTAAAACCCTGTTTCTGAGAGTCTACTCTGCTTTGATTGGTCAGATGGCTTGGTCTGTTGTGACTGGACTACCACTTACAGTATCTGTAACACATGATATATTCATTACCATATATCAGCACTTCTGCATACTGTACAGTGTTATGAACAGTAATGATGCTGTCAGTAATTGGGTCAGATTCTTATTCTATGTGTTTGATGCTTAAAGCTGACTTTATTCTCAAGCACCTATTGAAGATCAATACAGGGACACTGGAATTATTGAATGACACACTTTCTCCTTTCCATATGCACCAGACACTTCCTAATCAAATATTTTGTAATTGAAAGTATTTAATGTAGGTGAGTGGGCTTGACATAGCAAATGTAGGCAATGCATCCTTTTTTAAATCTCAATATGGACCAGACACCTTCTTATATGAACCCCATGCTTCTCTGAAAGAAATCCTTTGTGTGCTCTACACAGGTGAGAGGGCTTAACGAACCACCTGTAGGTGACACTCTGATTGGCTGATAGCTGTGTAATATTTTGCCATATCAGAACTCATACAGCCTCTTCACTCTTGTTTATTACTTCGCCCACATGAGCGGCAAGCAAATTAATAAACTTACTGCAGTTTGACAAATATTGCAGCTGTTTGACAACATGATGTACTTTTGAGGCTTTTAAAGGCAAGAATGTAGTTGTTTGGATTGTAACAATGCAGATTATTAATAAGGATGGTGTCTATTTTAAATATTTATAATTTGGATACAGTGCCACGACATCCATCAACCTGTCATGCTGAGCAGAGCAATGAAGGTTGATGTTGTTCATCCACAAAATGGTGACAGAGACCACATAATAAGCCCTTAGAGGAGAAAACTCAGCATAAAACTACAAACTACAGCTGATTGAATTATTATAAATTTGGTAGGTGCCATTCTAAGTCGATCTCTCCATTTTGTATGTTGTAGTGTTGTATTTATACAATATAATTGTAGAATATTGAGTGTGAGATGGAACTCATATCAGCAATGGCCACTCTTTGTATAACCCTGAGTTATAGTGGACTTGGTTGGCCATGTGTTTGTTTCAAATGAGTATACGGTTTTCATTACTGCAGATTAGTTCAGTAACATAAAGAAAGGAGAAATGCCTGCATGTGTTTAACATTCTTCCTTATCACAAACACAACAGTACTCTGGTAGTGTTTGCTTTGCTTTGGCTTTTTAGGGGTTAATTATTGTGATATTCCAATTGTAACAGAAATACTTGGAAATGTCTCTAGACTGATGACATTTCATGCCGTTCAGCCTTATAATCTTAAAATGTGATCAAAGTTTTGTCATAATTTTTGTTAATGCTAGAGAATCAATCATTTTTGAGACTCTATGTTTGATTTCATTTTTATATACACGATTATGCTGACAAACTGTTGTATAAACGCAATATCACATGAGTAGCCGTGCAATATAGCTTTATACAGTATCATCACTGGTGGGACACTAAGGCACTCGGCCTGTGGACTTATGCCAATACAGGCCTCCCACCAGTGGCAATATACAACCTCATCGCACTGATACTTGTGTGATATTGCTAATTAAAAAAAAGTGTGAATCTCATGCCAACTACAACAACAGCTATACATACTAATACTAATAATTATGACTTCAACTGTACCTTGCATACTTAA